TGTGGTGGCGGGTGGATTCCCGTGCTGCCAGTGGCTGTGTTGCATGAGGCCCATGTGCCGTCACTGTTCCGGTAGCCCTAGAAGTCGGTCTGACACTATTTCGAATTGATTTGAATTATTTTGTAATTTTTAAGTGGCTGTGTTGCATGAGGCCCATGTGCTGTCACTGTTCTGGTAGTCCTAGAAGTCGGTCTGACACTATTTCAAATTGATTTGAGTTATTTTGTAATTTTCAAATTATTTAATGTAATATTTTTTTAGTTTTGAGTATTTTATAATTTGTATTTGTAAATGTGGATGCAAAAAGAGAAAAGGAAAAGAAAAAAATATACATTAAAAATGAATATGTGTTGTGTTTTGAATTTTTATTTATTTATTTTACATAATAAAATGAAAAAGAATAAAAAAGAATTTAATATTTTGATTTGCTTATGGTTAAGAATTATAAACTTACATGTAAATTGTATTTTTAATATCCGATGAAAAGATAAAAATTTTAATTTTTTTTTTAACATATCAAAATCACGAAGCAGCTTACCTTAGGTAGGGTGCGTTAGGGGTGCTAATACCTTCTTTAAGCACAACCAGTTTTTTATCCTTGAATCTCTGACAAAACCAATACACTCGGGTTTTCTAGTAGCCCTCAATTATATACTAGGTGGCGACTTCCAAGAACAAGTTTCATGTGTTAGCTTAACTTTGCCGAAGACTATATTTTTTAATTTATTTCTTATTATTGTCTCTTTTTTTATTATATTATTAAATTAATTAAAATTTAATTTCTAAGTTTTTTTATTTCTTTAAAAATATAATTTTTTTAAAATTGTTTTGGACTAAAACTTTTTTTTGATCAGCTTGTGATAACATCCGGGCCACCAATCTGATATACGCTAATATTGTTGGGAAAATATAGATTTGAAGGAAGAATAAAATTAAATTCATAAATACACAAACACATCGCATATATTACTGCACGTATTAATTACTATGCTGATTTGAGATTTGTTTTCCACTGTGTTAGTCTAGGAAAAAACTCTATTTAAATTACCACTCAACCTACATTCTTAAGCATTATTGATATGTGATAGTATAATATAATAATTCTAAAATATTCAATGAAAGTTTCATAACATTGTTACCATCCCCTAGTTAAGTGCAAAAGTTAGCATTCGATGTTAAGGGTAAGAGATTAGTATCAGACTTTGCAAAATTTACCTCGTATTCCTCTTGGCCTTTCCCTGTTTAATTTGGTATTTAAATAGTAAATACCATGGTTATTAAAACCAATCTATCCAACAAGTCAACTTGTTGACCCACCTGTCAGATCTCGAGATCATACCAGACTGAATTTTACATTACAACAAGTAGAAGTTAACATGTGTGATATAATCTTCCATAAAATTTTTTCATCATTATAAAATGCATTGTATAAATGTCAAACTATGCTTTCAAAGTGTTTGAAACCATAGTTTGATTTCAATTAATTAAGTACTTAAATAGTAAATGTTGTTATTATTAAACTTGATGCAACCAATAAATAAATTTACTGGCCCATCAACCAGATCCCATGCTTTGGTCGAGTTTTAAATTTACAAGGGTGGAAATTGAACTATGTGATCTACTTCACTTGTAACTTGAGATTCGATTCTTATTAAGTTTTTTTTTCCTCAATAATCACAATGAAACACATTGTCTGAATATCTAGTTATATTTTTAAATTTGTTATGTTGAAACCATAATTTAATTTCAATTAATTTGGTATTTAAATAGTAAATACTATTGTTATTAAACCTCGTATAACCAATAGGTCAACTCATTTACTTAGCCTATCAAATTACTAGTCTAGGTCAAGTTTTAAATTATAATTGGTGGAAGTTAACCCATATAATCTGGTCTTTGTTAAGTTGTTTTTTTTAATCATAATGAAACGCATTATATAAATGTCGAATTATATTTTTAAAGTGTTTATGTTGAAATTATAATTCGATTTAATTTTAACAAGTGTGATCTAATGCATCTATGACCCTTTCACTACTAGAAATTCGCTAAATAACAACGGATTTACCGACAAAATATTTATGTTGGTATTTTGGGGTTGAAATTATCGACGATTATGTTCCGTCTGTAATTCAGTCAGTAACTACCGACATAAATTTTCCATCAGTAGTTACCAACTAAATTATAGATGAAAACATCACTGTCATAAAAAAAACGGGTCGCTGACGTGGAGGTTTTGGCTGGTTATTTTTTCAGATGGAATCACTGATGGATTAAAAAAGACAGGCCGTACATCAACCACAGTTTATATTGCCAACGGATTTGAAATGTATATTGTTCCGTCAGAATCATCGACGGTTTCACCTACGGTTTTGGTGAGTTATTTTTTTAGATGGAATCACTGATGGATTCAAAAAAACAGGCCGTATAGCAACTGCAGTTTATATTGCCAACGGATTTTTCATTGGTGAAACCGTTGGGAAAAGTTAATATATATACACACTGTCGACCCTCTCCTCCCCTATTTCTCCTTTTTCTTCCTAATCCCAACTCTCCTCATCTATAAACAACCAGCCCCTCATCCCTCCTAAACAAAAATCTCCCTCATATCAGCACAACAAGTTATATTTCTTGAAGTTTTGTGGTCACAACATCGGTGTTTTGATTTATCGACGGATTTTATCAATTTTTGTGAGTAATTCTTTCTTTTTAAATCTTAAAATTTAATTAAATGTTAATTTTATCATTTTTTTAGTATATGTATTTTGTTAGTAAATGTACATGTTTTATTGTTATTTCTCAAACAAACTTGTACTATATGACTGTATAATTCTATACCTGTCATGATTTGTTTTAAATTCTATAAGATTGTATTTGTTTGTAAATTGTTAAAACTTTATGGAACTACCGAAGTACATGTGCTGTTTTGAAATAATTAATAGCTTACTTATTTGGTCTGTTTAAAGTTTTGTTAATGGTATTGCAGAGTGGTAATTTCTCTATAAATTTATATATTTTAATTTGTATGGACGTTGATAAATGATAATGAATTTTTAATATTTATGAGAAGTTGTGATTGGTTTGTTGGATAATCTCGAGGTAAAGTAATATTTTTGCAAGTTTATTTACGTAACTTAGTTAATTAATACATTATGTCATCATAATTTTATAGAGGTTCGATATAAATTATGGATGATCGTTCATGGATGTATCGAGATTCACCCCAAGGATTGCAGAGGATGAATTATTATAACAGGGTTAAAGGTTTTATTAATTTTGCAACATCTATTCCTAGAAATTTTATTGGAGGTGGTATTAGGTGTCCATGCAGGAAGTGTCAAAATAAAAAGTATTTGCATCTAGATGTTGTAATGATGTATCTTCTACACAAAGGGTTTATGGAGAATTACCAGTGTTGGTATGCACATGGAGAAGTATATGTTAGTGAGAGAAGAATGGAAGAAATGGTGGTTGGGTCTACTTTTAGTGCTAGCAACGAGAATGACAACACTAATCCTTATAGAAACATGGTTATGAATGCAATGAGAATGGATCAAGGTAATGTCAGTCAATGTTCAATCATAGAAAAAGAATCTAATGTAGATGCAACTAGGTTTTTTGATTTGTTGAAAGATTCTGACGAACTATTATGGGATGGTTGCACGAACTACAGTAAATTATCGCCCGTAGCACAGGTGTTCACCATCAAGTTAGAGCACGGGTTGCGTGAGGCCGGGTATGACAAGTTTATTGAATGGGCAAGAAGCATTTTACCTGAAGAGAACAGGCTGAAAAAAAACTTCTATGCTGCGAAGTCCGTGATGAAACCCTTTGGTTTAGGATACCAGAAAATTGACATGTGCCTTAACTTCTACATGTTATACTACCTTGAAAATGCTGAGATGACCGAGTGCATGACATGCGGGCATTCCCGTTGCAAACCTAGAACTAGCAGGGGAAAGACTTTAGTGGCATATAAAAAACTCAGATACTTCCCGATCACACCTAGACTGCAGAGGTTATTCATGTTACCAAGGACTGCTGAGCACATGACAAGGCAACAAGCACACCATGTAGTTGATGAAGTAATGGTTCATCCTTC